AAACAATAAAATTTCATGATTTATTTTTAAATAAGCAAAAATTAGAGGACATAATATTGTGAGTTCAATAGTGTTTTTTTATGTAACAAACATCTCAGGAGGTGTTGGTCGAATAGTTGCAGGACGTATTTTTGTTTTAAATCGGAACCAAATTCTAGGTATTGACGTCAAATATACAAAAGGTAGACATATCGAATTGAAATAAGTAATAAAAATACAATAATCTATTGTCTCTAATGGCAAACCAGAAAAACCTATGAAAAACAAGATGTTGACAATACTAGACGGTAAAAGAGTTGCAAGACAGAGAAATGATATAGAAATAAGTTGAAAAGCCATTTTACTGTACTTTTTCCAATTAAGAGATCGTTGAAGGCGACGTTTCGAGTAAAGTACACGAATCAAAAGAGAGACACTAAATATAGTAATACATATGGACGAAAGTATAAAATGAACTAACATTTCCCACCACATTATAATTGTGTTAAATATATAGCAAGGAGGACCACAAAGAGGACTTTGAAAATCAAACGAACGTTCACATGGATAAAATATATTAACATAAAGAAAATAACATACATAATAAATGATAATAATAAAAGGTGGTGCATAATGTAAACATATATTTTTCCATTTCGTACGAAAAAAATGAGGATAAAAAACGAGAATATGTCGTTCAAATGATGCCCATGCTACTAACATGATGCATATTGACCAAATATTACGATCAAGAAATATCCAGATATAACAAAAGACAATATTGTTAAAAAGTACTCTGCCACATTTATAAAAATAAAGTAATAATGGAATATTAATTGCATTACCAAAAAATTGAAGAATTAAAAGAAAAAGAAGAGAATAATTATTTGGTGCTGAACGAAGATTTTTATGAGTTAAGATATAAACGATAATGAAAACATAACAAATAAATGATGGCACATGGATCCCAAGTAAAATATTAAATTTTATCGATATAGGAATGCCTAGAACATTAGGATTCTCTGGAATAGCATGGTTGTCACTAATATTTTGTTGCGGATTCAGTTGCATTTTGAGTGCTTCACCAGTAATAACTTACTCGGTTAAGATATTCAGTTTATTTAAATAAACTTGTAAGTTATTTTCTTGAACTTTATCGGCTTTCTCAGTATCTCTACTTGTGCATACATCACTCGAAAGATAATTTTCATCTGACAAGTTAGTATTAAAAAAAAGCAAGCCTTGACATCATTAGTTTAATGATTTACATATTCTCTAATCTTCCGTTACACTTAGAGCACCTTTTCATCTTGACACATAAAAGAAAGAAAGAAACATTTCAGCGCCAATTAAGTGAATAAATGTGATAGTAATTATATTTGATGTTGATAAGCGAGAATGTAGAGCAGAAATCTTGATGTTCTATTTATTATTGAGTAGATACACTAAAAATAAATCATAGCTTTTCGAAAATGCTTACTCAAACACACAAGACTTTGAAAAAGACATTTTATACTAATCCATGAGATTCATTGAGTCTTAGAGTTTGTAATTTGTGGACACGGAGATTCTATTATAGTTTATGCAGTTTATCAATGTTGTTAAAAAAAAATAGACTACCAGTCATTCACCTCGATGAGCATCTTCGTTCTGTTAACTACCATGGTTGACATAAATAATTGATGTTAAATGTATTTGATTATTGAAAACAGCGAGATTATACTGGCATAAAAACTGACAATCTCTTTTGAGAAAATGCAATCAATAGAATTATTTGTCGTCATATTCAATTGAAAAGATTTTTATTATGATGAATGAATGTGAAGTAAATGAATTTAGACGTGTTAATCTGATGTTTTAACAGTGAAATGCTCTCTAAAAATGTTTTATTTGAACAAAAGAATTGATAGTTCCAATATTTTTTTCATTTCACAAAATTGAAATCAAATGATGATTGCGTGTTTATGGAAATATTCTATTGAGTCCAAACTTTGAAATCTAACATTTCAGAAATTTTCGCATCTTAACGCATTTCCAAAGATTAAAAAAAACTTCTATCTTTGATTCAAAAATTTTGTATCTGGTCTAATAGAATCCTTGTAAGACTCCTTCAGAGTGATAAAAACTGTTCCTAGCATTGGAAATCTTTCAAATTGAAACCAATGAGAGATTCTTCTGATTATTCATACATTGCGTTTCAGAGGTTCTAGTTATTGTTTGAAATAAATACAAATTTTCAAATTATGTACGTTGATGTTTTACAATTTGTTTGTAAAAGAGAAAAGATAGAATTTCGGATGTATTGTAAGTTTCAAAGTACATGCAGACATGCTTTTATGGGATTAAGAAATAGGAACTTTTTATTAATATATACAAATTTGAAAAATCAAACCTGTTAAGATAGTACTATCAAATCAATGATTATAATATTCCTCGTAGATTTTTCACAAGAACACTCAATTAGATAGAAATCGTTGAAATGCTTCAAACATAATTTTAGAAAAGATTTTGATATGAACAACTGTTTATTTCCCATGAGAATCTTATAATTATTCAGTTCTTATGTTGATCATGTTAATAAACTTGCGGACATATTTTAAACTTACGAGGGAAGTACCCGAAGTGATTTACCACTTTTGAGCTCATATTTTGGGCGTATAGAGGAGACCTCTAGACTAGAATAATCCTAAAAGGATTTGGACCCATAGACCTTCTCTACAGAGTCATAGCCATTTTACTTGAGTTTTAACCTATGGCACCGTATGTAGAAACAAATCGACTGGTGGTATTTCGATGTGAAATTTTGTCCACAGATAGGTCTACTTGTAATTAGAATGCTCTGAAAATTTCAGTTCAAAAGAATGTTTCCTCCGCAGGATATTGAATGTCGATAAAACATGAGACTCTCTCATCTTTTATGAGATCCGAGTGATTTTTGAAAATTCAATATCTTGCAAAGGAAACATTCTTTTGAACTGAAATTTTCAGAGGATTCTAATTACAAGTAGACCTATCTGTGGACAAAATTTCAAATCGAAATATTACCAGTCGATTTGTTTGTACATACGGTGCCATAGGTTAAAACTCAAGTAAAATAGCTATAACTCTGTAGATAAGGCCTATAGACCCGAATTCTTTTAAGATTATTCTAGTCTAGAGGTCTCCTCTATATGCCCAACATATGAGCTCAAAAGTGGTGAATTACTTCGGGTATTTCCCTCGTAAGTGATACATCTTGAGAAGATGATATTTTGAGTAACATCTGTCAAAGTTAAAAAAAAAAACAATATATCCTATTTTTTGATGGTTTGCTTCTGTCTGTTCTACCTGTAGATGCGTGTCGTATGATTTTATGGCCACAACAGAACAATAAATAATAACATAACAGTTAACAGATCGAAGAAGTAATTCGGTTATTCATAAGGAAAAATTACAAAAGCTATTTTTGATTAAGCATCGTATTAGAATTGTGCATAATCATGTAGCATTTGAGCTTGACAAAATAGGTCGAGTACTCTCTTCATTTTCTTCTATCTTATACATTTGAGAGATCAATTAAATTTATCGTTCGAACAATAGTATAATTATTCGGATGCAGAATTTATAGGTTTTGATCAGCACTGAAGCTCAGTAACATGATTCTAGTTAGAAATGTATGAGTCTTCTCGAAACTAAATTATTAGAATTCGCACCAAGTGCACTGCTCATATAATGTGCCATCAAATTTGGTTGAATAGAATTAATACCTGGATCGTGTTATACAATTTTTTTCTATCACATTTTCTCTCAACGACTGATGATCTATTTGAAAATTTTTTTCTCAGGTTCTCTCATACAAAATCACCTTTGTGATTCATGGCATGGTTCAAATATCAAGAATCATAATTATTGTTTCTAGAATAGATCGATGTCTTTACTAATTTTTCACATTTTACTCGTCTAAATGTTAAAAATAATTTTCGCAATATTACTAATCGTTTTACAAATCATGTCATGAACAGATTTAGAACAGAACATGCTTTCGTTAAATATTTATAAAGAGTTTGATTACAATGTAGGATGTGTATTAGAGCATGCTATTTCAGTATCGTTGTTTGACAGCAAATATATGAACAATTGTATACAAAACACAAGTCAAAGATGTTAATGACTTGAAAAACAAAGTTAAGACAGAAATCAAAACCACAATAAAAAGGAACTACTATGCTATACTTTCAAAAGTATCCTGACAAAAGCTAACGTTTTTTTACCAAATAAAACTTCGATCATTTCTCTTTCAAACAGAAAAAAAGCCAAATTCAATAAAAAAAAAATGATGGAATTACACAATTTTTCTTAGTAATTGGCTTTCAGGTCATCCAATGCATAGTGATATTATAAATTTATTTAATATATAGCTTCATTAAAGATACAAGAAATAATTACTCAAAAAACTATATCCTTTATGGATCAAAATATACATTAAAACTATAATTTTATAACAACTGAATTAGATTGCAGAATAAAATATTTCTACTATTACGTTCTATATAAATAAAATCAAAATAATATTGCCATGTGTAAAATAATATATATGAAATTTAAGTATTTTTTGTGAATGCCGTATTTGATATCATATTATCATGAAAATGGTCTGTCATAATTTGTTTTGGAATGTATTTAGCAAGTAAACGTTGAATTAGTAATTGTTTTTCATTATCATTTAAGAATGTTGAACGTGCTGCATTAAAAACACATTGTGTTAGTTGTGCTGGTGATAATTTTAAATCAGATAATGCATGTTGATATTCATGTTCAATTGTTATTTGTGATACAGATGGATCATCACATGATAATGAAAAATTTAAATCATCACGAGCAAAATGATGTATTGGATGCCAAACTTCTTTTCTTGATTTTATGTGGTAATGTAATGTTGTTGTTGTTTCATGACCATGTAACATAATATGTTTTTCTTGTTTTTCACTATCCTTTGGAATATATTTAGCAACAGCATTTGTCTGAATGGATGATGTTAAACAACATTCAAGATGAATATCATTACGACGGATTAAATCATATACTGATGGATCCTCTATGATAGCATAACCATGACCAATACGTTCAGCATGACATAGTTCGATTGCTTGACGAACAGATTCAGGTGAACCTGTTTCACCAGCATGTACTGTACGATGTATACCAAGTTCAACTGCACGTTTAAACGCTGGAATATGTGGATCAAGAGGATAACTATGTTCGTCACCAGCGAGATCAATACCGACAACACCTGCTGAACGATATTTATCAGCTAAATTCACAATTTCCATTGACCTGACGAAGAAAAATCATCGTATAGAAAATATTTGAGACCTTTAATTAAACAAATAGATGTTTTTATAGAATCACAAGATCAATTAGATGTCTGTTAGTCTGCTGTGTCCGATTACATTCATTTCTTTATTTGTCACATATACACTAGATATAATCAAATTTGTTTTTCTTTATAGGAGAAAAAGTGAAACAATTGTTCGAAAAATAATAGTCAAAAATCTGAAGGATTTTACTTATAGAATTATCAATAAAATAAGATCTTTTTTTTTCTGAATAGTCGTCAAACATAATAGCTTTAAACAATACTTGTTCAGGTTTTATACTATTTCGATATAAACGACTCAAATCAATTCCATTGATCTAATAGAACTATGTTCATCAAACTCAGAGAACAAGTCTTCAAACACCTTGTGTACATCAAGCTTCATTAGTATTTCAGCTTTCATGATGAATTTTTCTTAAAAATGGACAATAAAAAAACAGATTTTAGAATATATCGAGTATTTATTATTATTTGTTATATGTAAACTCCGTTATGTCTGTCGCATCGATGAGGCATCGCATATGATCCATTTTTATATTCAACATGAATATATAGAAGTTTGTTAAGAAAAAAAGCTTTGTATTTCGATTGTAGTCTATCACAATTTATTCAAAAGCTCCATAGGTATGCTTTTATGATAGACTAACATTCGGCTGGATTTTATGTAAAAATTCTGTTTTAAATGTTTGTAGTTAGTAGCATTTTCTAATTGAAAAGACTAACCGTTTTCTTGAAGTCGATTCTATTAGTTTCTTTTTAAAAAAATGTCAATATTTTCACTTGACAAAATATGAACATCACCTTTAACAATAAAACTGTCATACTGTAATCTATGAGAAAAGAAAAAATAAATGCGACAAGTTGTCACATTTTTTTTTATAAATTGTTTCTAATTTCATTGGTTTCAACATACCATTGAGGATGTGATCGTATACAACATAATATTGTTCGTACATCGATAAAAAACTCTTTCATTCCACGTTGAAGGCCACGATTAATTGCTTCAATTACCTTTAAAATCCAGTATTTATTCACAAATTTCTTCTAAGCTAAAAACTAAAATTCTCACATCTTGTGCTTTAAGCTTATCAGCTGTTAAACCATGCGGACTATAACGAGCTTCAGTATAAAGTACACCTTGTATAGCTTGATCTTCGACGAATTCATATGCAACACGTTCAAGTGCTTCAACATTACCAGCCACCATTGGTATAAAGAAAGGAAATTTTTCAAGAAATTCAGCAAGAGATTGACAAACTGATTGTACACAAATATATCTTTAAATAAGATAGAAGGATTGTCAAAAAAGAAAAATATTCATCTTAGAATTTGAATTACGGTAGAAAATTTTCCATTGTTGGTTCCATTCCATTAGGAAGGTGTAAACCTAAAATGTGATCCATAATTTTATTTTATTCTTTTCGAATTATTTTATCTTACCTTTCTTTTGAGCTAATTCAAATAATGTCGAATGTCGAAAAGAACCATCAAGATGAATATGAAGCTAGGTAACAAAAAAAAAACAATTTTTTCTTTTAATAATACACAGCTTACTTCCACTAATGATGGCAAAGGGTAACCAAGTGAATGTCGATGATGAAGATGTCGATGATGAGGAGAAGATTTTTCATCAGAATCAAGTAATATACCAGGACGTGCTTTATTTTCTTCACTATCTTCATGTTGCTTATCCATTTTCAATTTGAAAATAATAGAGAAAGGCCTTGTCTTCGCTAGAAAAATAATATAGTATTAACTTTGTATTAAATTGATGTGCGTCTACATTTGTAAGTTAATGCATCAATTAAAATCGAGAATTGCAAAATGAAGTATCACTATACTTAACTCAACTCACCAACAACACGTCATCTCATGTTAATTAGTGAAACGAATTAAATGATGATTAGTGCATTAACTTTAATACAAGTTCAAAAAGTGTATTAACTTAGACCTTGTCTACACTAGAAAAGTTAATTCAGATTTAATGCACTATTCAGAGATGAATTAAATTTAATGTATCAATCGAAAGAGAACTTGATCGACTAATTAAAATGACAAATGTGCCTTGGTAAAGTCGCCTTATATTATCGATAGATAGATATTTTCAATACGATGAACTATAGAATATAATTGAATAGGAACTGAATCATAAGAATAAGCAACGTTACAATATTTAACGAATCTGTAGTTGAAAGAAATAAATTAAAACAATAGATACTTTATTAACAAATTTCATTAGTCAGTCAATAATTATCAAAGAGAGAGGGAAGCGACTTTTTGTTTTATGAATACGTGCTAGAATTATGTACTTCGACTACATCATAGTGACCATTTCTCAGTTCTGATTGATGCATTAAAGTCATAAGGGTAGCCGTATATAGATTTAATTCGAAATTAATACTGAATTATTCTTCTAGTGTAGATAAGGTCATAATACACCTTTCGAAGGGATATCAAATGTGTAATACCTTTTCGGCCAATTATATACCTTAATACAGTATTAACTTTTGTGGTGTAGATCAGACCAAACTCTTATTTTAAATACTTCATTTTATTGTATCATTGAAAGTAAACAATCATAGATATTGCCTTGATTTTTACAAAGCTAGATGGCGGTAGTCATCAATCGGATTTCTCTTAATATTTATCCTTGATATTATTATTGACATATGAAAACAATTACACTTATTTGACAATTAAAAATCATATTCATCAAAGTCTTATTTAGTATAGATGGAGTTAGTTGTTTATAATTTCGTCAGAATTGATAATTACAAAAACTCTAAATAAATAAATAATCAACTAAAGATTTTCTTTGATTAAAACTGATTGATTATTCTTTAAATAAAATAGGTGCATGACTCACTTTAGCTTAAACTGTGAATATTATTGACACATATAAGAAATGAAAAAATTATTTCCTTTTTCGTTTTTTCTATTTTTATTATTATTACTTTTTTAGAAAATGAGCCATTTTCTACGAATTTTAAAACTGAGATGAGTAGTATTAAACGAACTTTGAGTGTTGATGATAATTCCGTAACAATAGATATTAATAATGAACAATCAACAAGTTCCAATGATTCTCCAGGTTCAAAAAAACTTCGGCGTACATCAGTAAATTCTGAAAATGAGGAACAAACTCAAATAATTGAACAAGAAAATGGCATCAATAATGGTAAACTAAATAAAATCATTTCAAGAAGGTTATTTTTTTTTTGAAATCCTAGGTCACTCAACAAATCAATCTGACACCGAAGAACAAGAAATAAGTAACAATATAGAAGAAAACTCTTCTGATTGTTCCATGATTTTGGCTGATTTTGATAATGGAAAAGATGATAGTAAATAATAATTATAAGAAAAAAATCAATTTTATTTTTTATTCTTCAAATAGTTTTTCGATATGATGGTAACATTATTTTTCATACTCATATCCCACCACAAGGACGATATGCTCAAGTATCAAGTGAACCATCAATAATACGAACGTTTGCATGGACATTATCAGCATTTTTACAACTAATTTATGATAATTCTCAACATACTCATACAGAATCTTTTAGTCTTTTTCTTAAATGTGAACCAGACAAAAAATATCATGGTTGGTCTATATTTGCTAAAGCTGAATTAACTCTTTTACATCCAACAAATCCAAATAAAAATGTTGTTAGAAGTAAATTCTAAAAACAGATTTTTCTTTTCAATCTTTTTTTTTTTCCTTTTTCCTATAAAAAGAAATCAATCATTTGTTTAATGTACGTTCCAATGATTGGGGTTTTCGCCAATTTAAACCATTAAAAGTATGTGAAGATACAATTTATTAGTCTTTTGAATTGATAAAAAAAAAGATTTCATTTTTATTTTTTTTTTATTAGGAAATCTATAGTGAATATATACATTCGCCAGATAATACAATTCGAATTGAAGCAAAAATTCATGCTGATCCTCCACGAAATATTGAGTACGTTAGAAGCTTTATTTTATTGTCAAAAAAAAAAAAGGAATATAATATTTAGATGGGATTCAAAAGGTCAAACTGGTTTTGTTGGTTTGCGCAATATTGGTGCAACTTGTTATATGAATTCATTCTTACAAACAATTTATTTTACCAAAAAATTACGCAAGGTTTGACATAATGAGAATAATATGAAAGATAGTTAAAAAAAAAAAAGAAAATCGTTCTTCCTTATCGATTTAAACATCTACAAGACATAAGAGTGAATTCATTCTAATAAGTCGAGATAAATTTTTTTCGTAGAATGATAAATTTTTATTTTCTAGAATTTTTTGAAATTAATTCTAATAAATACAATAAAACTTAATCTATAAAATTATTCAAGATTGCTTCATAAATAGTTAATAAGTGAATGTAGTCTTAAATCAACAAATAGTTAAATATCTAGGGATGTGAATATTTCTAATCATATTAGAAACACTTTTATCTTTTATTTCAAGTTGATTTTTGTAAAATTCTAAATAAATCTATATTTAGGCTGTTTATACTTTGCCAACAGATAGTGATGATCAATTACATAGCATTCCACTTGCTTTGCAAAAACTTTTCTATGATCTTCAATTTACTGATCGACCTATAAGTACAAAAAGATTAACACGTTCATTTGGGTAAATTCTTATTTATTTTAATAAAAATTATTTTTTATTTGTTTTTATTTTTATTTTATTTTTACTTTTTGTTGATGGGACAAGCCAGATGAATTTTGTCAACATGATATTCAAGAATTTTGTCGAGTGGTAAGAAGAATATTTTCGAAATTATTTTCGTAGTTCTTTTCTTTTTTTTGTTTCAGTTACTCGATAAATTAGAATCAAAAATGGAAGGTACAACAATGGAAGGTGTCATTCCATCACTATTTCAAGGACAATATGTGGTAAATTATTATATTATTATTTTTTAACAATTATCTATAAACTGAAAGAATTCTTTGTTTTTTTTTTATCTATTAAAGCAATATGTACGATGCACAAATGTTTATCATGAATCTCGAGTACAACAAACATTCTATGATGTTCCATTACAAATACGAAATAATGCTAATAGTAACTATTTTATTTTCATTATTACAAAAAAAAAAATTCATTGAATTTTAATTAGTTATAGAAAGTTTTCGAGATTTTTGTAAAACAGAAATATTAACCGGTGAAAATTTATATGATGCTGGCAATATTCATGGTTTACAAGTTAGTTTAAATTTTAATAAAATCTTTTGTTTTTTTTTATTTTTGAAATTTACTTCTAATTTAGGAAGCAGAAAAAGGTGTGAAATTTCAACATTTTCCTCCAGTACTTTGTTTACATTTATTACGTTTTGAATATGATTATAATTTATCTCAAAATAGAAAAATAAATGATAGTTATTCATTTGATTATCATCTTGATTTAAGTGAATTTCTTGAAAAACCAAATTGTTCATTATGTTCATATAAATTATTATCAATATTAGTACATAGTGGAGATAATTCAAGTGGACATTATGTTTCATTTATTAATCCAGAATTAGATGGACAAGTAAATATAATATTTGATATTTTCAGTCTATTTATTATTTAATTTTAGTGGTTTAAATTTGATGATGATGTTGTTGCACGAGTAGCACCAAGTGATGCAATGGAAAGAAATTTTGGTGGAATACAAGATGATGATGGAAGTATGTATAATACATCTGCTTATATGCTGGTTTATATACGTGAAGATTGTCAAAGTAAATTGAAAGCTATATATATATATATAGAATTATTTTATATATAAATATTTGATCTTGTGTATTGTAGAAGATGTTTTATGTGATATTAATCTAGAAGATATTCCAGAAAATTTAATAAAACGATTTGATTATGAAAAGTAAAAGATTATTTTTTGTTTTGACTAATTAGAATATTAAATTTAGAAAATTATGTTTAAAACGTCGTGAAAATATGTCGGATAATGATGAGTTAGTTTATATACAAATTATTTTAAATACTGATTTTTATATTCAACAAACAGCTTGTTTAACAGAAATTATTTATTATAAGTATGAAATTTTGTGTTTTGTTTTTTTTTGAAAATAATTAGGAATAATTTTTTCTTCTATTTTAGTTCTATAGATTTTCCAAACAATAAATTTTATTCACGTTATATAAAAGCACGAAATTCAGAATTATTTAGTATTTTTGCTCAACGATTAGCATATGAAATGGTAAATACAAAATAGTTTGTTTATTGTTTTGATAATAAAATAAAACATAATTCTATTTGTGCAAAAAACAAAAGATTAAAATTATTCTCTTACTAAAATTAGAAAATTTTGAACAAATTAAAGCTATGTAAGATCAATTGATATGACATTAGACAAAGTAAAATTGAGATTCTTTTTAGTGCAGTTGTAATTTCAATCTTACCAATTAATCGAATATGAAATACATGTATGAAATAATACTGACAATTTTTCTGATTGGACTCAATTTAAAAAAAACACGTGACTCTGTAAATTCTTAAGATGAGACTCTAGAGACAATTTCGCCTGCATTATGACATAATGTATGATTTCGTTCATAAATACGTTAATGTTAGATTTAGTCGAACGTTATCAAAATCATAACAAATTCTGAAATGAAAGATATCTTTAAATGTAGTTCTCTTATCTATTATTTGCTACTTCAACGAGATTCCTTCTATTGCGTTGTTATCAAGAATATAAAGTTTCGTTCATGGATCACTTTCATTTAGAATTTGATTAAACAGAAGTGAAAATCTTTATTCTATGACATCAATATTACTCTCATTCACGTTAAATAACTAATTCAATCTTATAAAAATTTAGTTTATGAATTCGCTTTTTATCATAATTTAGGGAGTCAATCTCAATGAAGATATACGAATATGGTTGGTTAATACTCATAAAATTAATATAAATCATCAAAATCATAATCATTATCATTCACAATCATTACTGACTTCTACACTTATTTATTGTGATGATTATAATAAAAAAGTAAAACTTTTAATCTATTAATATTTATTATTTCATTTTTTTTTTTCTTCTAATTTATTAGATTATCGATTTATTTCAACATAAAATATCAAATCGACAAATATTATCGATATTTGTTGAACAAAAACTATTTCTTAATGGTGTCTATCAATTATTACCATTTGATAAAAATGGTATTTTAATATATTTTTTTTTCTTTTGGTTTTTATTCGAAAGTATTTCTATTTTAATTTTAAATAGATGATATATTAATATTTGTTCGTTTATATGATTCTCGAGATGAATCTCTTTTGTACATTGGTCATTTTCTATTTTCTAAAAAACAATCACTTCGTAAGATAATTTTTCGTTTTGATATTTTATATCGTTTATTATTATTGATTTTCTTTTTTGTTATAGAAAAATGTCTAAATGATATTGCTCTTCATATTAAAAAACCAATATCTCTTTCGACAAAATTTAATGTTCATCAAAGTACACCAAAACATAATCAAATTTATCAATATGAATTCATACAATCATCTAATTTTGATTTACCATTATCTCAAGCACTTCATCCATGTTTATCTGGTGTATCAATTATAATTCAAATACTTGATATGAATCAAACACATAATGAAAAATGTTCTCTAACTTTAGACGATTATTTTCAGTAAATAAAAAAATTTTGGAATATTTTAAATTCTTTATTTGATAATATTTCATTTGTTTTTTCTTTATTTTAGAAATCTCTTTAGTCGTCAAGAATTTCATGTCTGTAATCGAGATAATTTACGAAATGAATGTCTTTTAAAATTATATCTTCCATTGGAAACATCTATTAAAGAAGTTATTAGATTAATTGCTGAACGTATTAACTATCCAGAACAACAAGTTATTATACAAAAATCTTCAAAGTAAGAATTTTATAAAATAAATTCGTTGTATCATGAAATGGTAATTTAGAATATTATAATAACATTAAAGATAAATATTATGCGTTGAGTATCAAATCAAAATAAAAAATTTCCAATACAAAAAATATGAATAATTCATGAATCGTTTGAAAAATATTTCAGACTTATCGCATAGTCTGATTGGAATAAGTAAAATAAAAGTTGTTTTTTTTTGGGGAGGAATGTTTTCTTTTATATGATATGCAAGTTTCTATGATTTATTGTAACTTGTAGCCGTTTTTTCCGAAATCGTAGAAATGACACTCATCTATAAGTGACTGATTCGTTATTGCTTAGATAAATTACTTTTCTACGTCTATTAAATATTTATCTGATATGCTAATAAATCTTCATTATATGATGCAGTTTCTATTTTTAATCATTAGCCATGCATCTTTTAGATCGAATATTCTTTATTGTATTTACATATTCATGATTGGATGGCTAAATCGAACTGTCTATGTCATTTAATAGAGCACATGTTAGAAAAGAAAAAAGAGCTAGTGTCCATAGACCGATCTAGTGTGTCGATACAGTGTTTTAAAAATACTAAATATTGTTTTGATTTTTCAAATTTTTTTCTCTTAAAAAAAAAAGAAAAAATCCCCAGGTCAATCACGCTCGATCGGATCCTGTTGGTTCTAAATAATTCCGACTGAAACCTATCTCAATTTTGTCGGAATCCTAACTAACGGATTCCGACGTCGGATTTGCATAAAATCCGATCGAATCCTGTCTGTTTTTGTCGGATTTTACCGGATTCCGGTCCGGATATCGTCGGAATCCGTTAGTTAGGATTGATTGACCTGAGTCAAAGTACAGAAACGTATCTAAAAAATGTTTGATCATCTATCTCCAATCGTTTCAATCCTCACACTACAAAATTATTTTTAGAAAAACGAATGGTAGATTAGGCATTATTTAATGTTTAAAAATGCTTCCAAATTTCTCAATTGTACGATAATTGAAACAATGAATTACCTCACTCTGAAAAGCTTTTCTATTTTGAAAAGTGTTCCTACAAGAATTGAAACGAGACGAAAAAAAACCAGTTTGTTTTTCAATCACACTAGAATAATTAATTTTTTTAGTTCAGCATCAATAACCAATACAACACCTTCAACATCTTTATTACATATTGGTAGTGAACAAAAACTAAAAGATCTCTATCCAAATATACGTTTTACAGTAACAACACCTCGAAAAATCTTCTTTAAAAGAGTAAAAAAAGAAAAATAACAAGAATTTAATAGAGACTTTTTTTTTCGACTCATTTTATTTTTTAGTTACCGTTTAATTATACGGAACTTGAACATCGTCGTTTATTTCGCATATATGTTACAAATTCAACAAAAAAAGATGAACAACGTGAAGTACAATTTTATGCTAAACCATCTTCAACAGTAGCCGATTTTCTTAATGAAATTAAACAATGGATACCAACATTATGTTCTGAGAATGGTAGTCAACACTTAAGGTAAACATTATCAATAGTTTTCATTTCAATTAGATAACTATTTACGAATGTTCGAAAAAAAAAAACCAAATTCTATTTAGAATCATTGAACTAATTTTAAACAATGATATAAATCTTCCATTTCATCTTCGTATATGTCCAGATCAATTATCAATAGATAAATTTGATAATTGTTCAAATCGTTCTTATCATTTAGAAGAAATTATTTCTGATGAAAATGATCATAATAAAGATTCTGTATTGATACCTGTTGCTCATTATACAAAAGTAAATAATTTTAATTATTTATTTTTGAAATTTTATTTCAAAATTATTTAGGAAAATTTTATACAAATAAATCTTCAAAAATTTTTTCCATTTTTTCTAAATGTGATACATGTAAAATATAAAATTTTCGATTTTATTTTATCTATTTATTTAAATTCTCATTTGATTAGAATGAATCATTTGATGATGTTAAACAACGATTACAAACTAAATTAGGTCTTACTAATCGTGAATTTGAAAAAGTTTGTTTTCTTCTTTTTTTTTTTTTTAATACTTTCTATCTTTTATTTACATTAATTAAATTATTTTTAGTATCGTTTTTCAATATTTAATGGTAGTAAATTAATATCTCGATGTGATGATAATATGGGACAAATTAATTTACGTGAACTGAAATTGATACAAAGTATAATTTATTGCAAAAATTTTTATTTAAATATTTATATTTTGTTCATTTTAGATGCATGTTGGCTTGGCTTAGAATTACCACTAATATCAAATCCACGAAAAACTAGAAAATCACTTGGTTCAGAAAAACCAATTCGAATAAACTAGTCGGGTGTAATTCTGTTTTCTTTAGGCATGTTTTCTGTCTTCATTTTGTATTAATTGATAAAATATTTGTGTTTCCGTATCTCTTATTCGTTTTATAAATGAATTGATGTACTCAATAATTCTATTTTACTGTAATTATTCATATAAAAAGTAAAAGTAAGTGTAATACTAAAATAGAGAGAAAAATATAAATCTGTAAGAACATGATTGCTATTTTTTTGCTCGTTCCTTCCATTATTTTGACATTTTCAAAAAGTTCTGTCTAAATTGTAACGCGTTTTCATTGTTTTTTCATTTTTTTTCTTCTTTTGTACTATTTTCCTTCTTAATATGTATGTGTGATTTAATTATATTTTCGTTATTTGTATAAATACAATGAGAAAACAGTAGTCCTGACAGCAGAAGAAAAGAAAAAACAAAATTATTATATGAAAGACATTTTTCAAAACATCAAACTGGAGACGTATGATGTCTATATTGAGACCATGGCTTATTTGTATCCAATATATGAGCCATAGATAATAAAGCATCCGCTTGATCACGATAGGGTTCTCCATGTGTTGGTGTCAATTGTGAATTCAATGTTTTATTGGTTTCACTACCTTCATTTTCATTATCGTCATCATCGTTATCAGATCCTTCGCCTGGACCAAGTAAAAAATGTACATGATTTTTACTTGGTATTCGTTTAAGGAATGGTTCAGTTTCATCCGAACTAATAGCACCATCATTTGTGGGCACAGTTAGTTGATTAACTACAATAGCTGGTGATGATATATTCCGTTTTTTTATTCTCTTTAGTTCGAGATCCGTGAGTTCGCGTTGATTTGTCTGAGAATTTGTTGAGCGTTGCTGTTGTTGTTGTTGTTGTTCAGCTGCCGCATCCAATGAAGAAAATGATTGTCGTACAAGACTAACCGATGAAAGTGTAGTACGAATATTTTGTGCTGTAACTGCTAAATGTTGAGATATAAATTCAGTTATACGACGTTTTCGCATTGTAAATATACTTTGTAAAACGACGAGTAAACCAATGATAATTGAATACTGTGTTGTAATAAATAAAAGACCATGTTTTGGGTCTGTTCTTAAATGAGCAAATTTGGCATAATCATTTATAATATCTTGACAGACAAGTAAATCTGGAGGTTTTGTTGAAATATTCGTTTGATAATAACATATACAAATACTATATTTTTCATTATGATTTAATGAAGTTAATCTTAATGAATTTGAAAAATGAGGATGTGGTCTTAATGTTGTATTTTTTGAACTTAATTTTTCCTTTTTAAGTATAATTTCTCGATTTTGATTATATGGTCGAATAATAAAATGAAAATATTTTAATGAAGATATTTTTTTAAGTGATGTTGAAGGCGTTGTAGTCATTGTTGCTAATAGATTTGATTTACGTTCATTTTTTTCAGAATATACATTATTTTTAATTAATGATATTGGAATAGAGAATAGATCAAATATCACACGAATAGTATCTTTATCAATAAAACCCCAATCAATTTCATAATTTGGTCCTTGATGAATATCTGGTATAGCGGTAACATTTGATTCTTTAGCTGTCTCTAATAAATCATTAACAGATATTTCATTTTTAATTTCATCAGTTGCTGTATCACTAGTAGTTATATCTTGAGATGATAAAATCAATGTTTTCTGGTTTTCTCTTTCATGTATAGAAGTATTTGTATTTACAATCTATAACAAAAAAAATCGAATTGATTGTTCTTATTATTTTATTCTCTTGACTTGCTTTTTTTATAGAAGAATTATTATCACTATTTAAGACAATTGTTGGTAATATTGTTGTTGTTGCTACATTTTGTAAACAGAATGTTTTATTTGATAATGCAAATAACAGAAATAGATATTGTTTTATAAAGAACATTTTTTAACCGGATTTAAATAAATTTTTGATTCATTAAGTTTAATATCTTGTGCATGTCTTTTGAAATAATCTAATAAGAAATAAAAAAAGAAATAGAAAGAAAAAAATATATGAACATATGTTAAGTAAAAAGATGAAAAGAAAGCTCAATGAATACGACGAGCAAAACACATTAATAATGGTTAGAGACGGTTTGTTCTTTTTCTTCCAACCAATTGTGAATCATTCGGAACTATTCATCGGCAATGGTTTAACAGAGTTGTCACAGACAGTGAAGAAAAAATGGTCGACAACCTCAAGAACAGAGGAAGCAAAATATGCGAAAAAAGAAAAGAGGCAATAAGAATAAGACCATAGAAACAGAAAAAAAGAAGAAAAAGCAGAAAAAATTGATGTTAGTGTGCATGCACGAGTATATGGTATACTCGTTTTCTCCTAGTACCAGAATACAATAGCGAGAAATCATACCGGAGACTATATCGCGCAATTGAAGATAGTAGAATAAGAATAATATCGATAACAGTAAATCATCTAGCGATGATTGATGGTTGTTAGTAGGCACTCGCTCTTCTATATAAGACCATCATAAGAAAAAAATCATTAATTACTATTTAATTCCTCGTTTATTTTTTCTTTATTTCGTGTTTTACTTTTACTCTTACAAAAAAGTACGTAATATATGTTTGGTGCGCCAGCTTGTGAGTAAAAAAAAAAAACAGAAGTGTCGAATTTCCATGCACTTGTACATTTATTTTTATTCTTGTTTATGCGATTTCAGTTTTATTTATGTGTCTCAAGACAAAAATATTAAGTAACAGAACGAAAAGTATTTCCTTTTGATAAGAGCATACCATAATCAGAAAACTAACTGCTTACCTTTGATTTGAAATATTATTTATCATTTCATTTATGTATATATTCTTGATTGTTACATATTCGTATATTTCTAGCAAAAATATATTGATCTAAAATATAAAGTTCTTTTCATTATGATCTATAAAATGAGAATAAAGTCTTCTAAGAATAATAAAACATTCTCATATTTAATATCCTGTAAAAATGAAGCTTGCTTGAAATCAGACAAAACCAACAATCATCTTCCATATAGATTATAAAAAACATCTTGATTTCATCTCAAATACTGATTCAAAATAACTAAATAAATTATTTGCCGAACGCTTAAATTATAAAAACATTATTGTAAATATTAGCATTATTAATAAATAATATGAAATCAAATTCTATAGAGACTTGCTCTGAAAATATATTAATAAAGTAGTGAAATAAAAAAACACTTATCAATCAAGTATAAATCAAATGCATCCAAACGAAGCAAAATTAATTTGATGATCAAATAAAATATTGATCAAAAATAGATTGTAATTATTTTATCAACTGATGATATATCTTCTACTTAATCTAAATGTGATTTAAAAACGATACATATCAATTAAATCAATTTTCAATTGTTAACAATTTTTCTAAAACATACTCATGATTTAAAGTCAATAATGAATAAGTGAAAATTGATTTTCATTTAATGATATATAATAATATCGATTTTTTGTAGTTAAAAATAGATGAATTACTATAAAAAAAGCATCTTAAAAATAGATGGAATTAAATGTATATAGAGCATACCATCATGCCTAGAAGACTTGATGGCATGTAGTGATTATTCTTAGATCTTGTTGTTATCGTTCCTTTTCATTAAAATCTATAGAAAAGCTGGTGTCTTTTTTGTTTTATTCTATTCTTACAAAGAATAGGAATTCCTAATTACAATTAGACAGACTCCAGGTGTTATTTTTGACATAGAGGAATATTAAAATGATTCAAGTGAATGTTTTTCTTCTGGACATTTGTTTCTTATATACAATATTTATCGTCGAAATATGGGCGAGAAAAATTGACATCACCTTTCTTTCATCAAGTTATAGTAGAAAATAGTTTAGGTATTTAATTAGAATTGCATTGTTATTAATTATTTAATAGAAATTTTTTAAAAACAATTTTAATTGAAAAATTTCAGTAATTTGATTTTGAGATGGTTATTAAACGGAATATGCATATGGTGTTCTTTCGATTACCAGTATGGAATCATTTCAACTTAGAATTTCATGTTTTCATTTTCATTTTCAAAAAAATATAATGTCTTTTAATTTTCTATAATATGAAGAGGAAAACAATAATATTAGCTACCACTCATGGATTTTATGCAATGAATATGAACTACTTCCGACACGATAGAAAAATAATAGAATGAGAGAAATACAGAAAAATTAATGAAAAAAGGAATCGAAACATATATGTAATTTGTGCTTTGTATTTCTACTTAGTCTTCTCATGAGAGAAAATAAAACAAAATTGACTCTTCAGGTCATATATATGTTTTCTACACTTTGTTGAAAATAGAAATATTTAATATTTTATGTCGATTTATAGTAGGACCAACGAGATAATGTAATTTAAAAACTTTCTCTGAAAGTAAACACCGTATAATTTTATCGAAAAATTTCCTGTTTTTTTTGTTCGATTTGACTCTATGTTTGCTTTTTCAACAAAAGACTTTTTCTTCAGTTGAATGCTTCTACCTTTTATAATGAACCAACTGTTATTTTATGTTGATGCATTAATATTCTTGATGAATAAAGTAGAAAGTCTAATGTTTAACTTTTGAATATTCAATAAGTACAAACTATACTGGCATTTTTTGAACATTCTCTTTTGATATTGTCCTAAAAAACATCCAATATTATACATCATTATTTACAAATTACAAAAAAATTCATTTATTTGACATCAAAATTTCAATTATTCTTAGTTCTGAACCTCAAAAATATGACTATGTTGATGAAACTAACTCTGTTTGTTTTTCGAGATAATGGAAACTGTATGGTACGATCTATTAGGAATCTTTTAAAGCAGATCTATCACATATATAATCAACTGCAAATACATTTTCTTTGACACCTGCATTCTATTTCTCTCAGTGAGAGAGAATCAGACTGAATTGGAGATAAAAAAAAATCAATGAAAATGAATGAGAGCTTAGTCAAGAATTCTCGAGCACTAGTGTACTATAAATTTCCTGGCTTTTTGATACAATATATATTGATTTTCAACTAGCATAAAACTCAGTTTGCTTACTAATAATCGATTTATGGTGTATTTAATTCAATGTGCATCAAATTCATCGTTCTACTTTGTACAATGCACAAATATGTTTTTCCGTTAAATTTTCTATTTCTACTAAGTTGAAAGTTTTATAATCTCATAAACGATGAGTCCAATTTAGGTTTCGGAGTGAATATACAGAACGAACTAATTTTGAAACTGAATATAAATTACAAAGATATAATCAAGTAAACATAGAAAATTTTTATGGATGTTATGGCTCGTTTTTAAAACAAATTAGTGATGATAGTTTCATGTAATTTCTCCTTTTGAATAGTGTAGGAACATGAATGTAAAAAATACTTTTTATATCCTATGTTAGAATTGATTGATTTTTCATTTAAAAAAAGACAAATCTTAACAATAATAACAAGCATCGATGTATATTTTTATTGAGTTCGTATGACACTGAACTTTCAATTGAGAACAAAGAAAGAAAGTTTGCCAAAATAAAAATTTGTCGTGCATTTTCAAATAAAAATACGCACTGTTCTACTTCTATGTACAATACTATGTCCCTAGCCTTGATCCTGCTCATTCTTCAAGAAAGTCTGGAAGGACCTGTCAGGATCGTGGATCTCAATGTTCTTGTCAAGTTTTTTTTCAGGATCCTGTTTCAAATCCTAGTAATTCCTGTTTGTGAGGTTTCTCATCGTTCAACAGGATTCTTGTCAAGATTTGTTAAAGTTCTTGCTCAAACACTTTTTCAAAATGAGAATGCAGAATCCTGTCAGAGTTCACTCTCAATTTTGCCCAGGATGTTGACATGAATAGCAAACAGGATTCTGCGAAGATTTTATCAAATTTCAGTCAATATCTGTTCTGCATCCTAATATGAGGATCTAGTCAAGAATTGAAGTTATTTCAGAGGAGAATTTTTGACAAGAATAAAACACGATTAGTCTGAATTCTAAACGAATGAATCCTACCAAGTTTCGATCAGGATTCTGCTCTGAATTTTTCAGAAACAAGTCTTTTCGGATCCTTACAAGACAATACCAATCATGATAGAAACATACCAGGATCTAGCGTAGATCTTTGAACGTTTGTGTTCAGAGTCTTTTGTGAATATGATTTGCAGGATCTTGTCAAGATTTATAATTGATTCTGTTCAAAATCCTGATGAAGATAGATGTAAAGTTTTCATCAAGGTTTTGACCGGTTTTTATTCAGAATTCGTTCAAGATTTATAAATCTTTAGATCACAATATGAATTTTAATACCAATCTTAAATCTCAACAGTGATCAATGAAAGGATTTTTGAAGTATTTATTTTATTTTGCTCCGAAACTGACAGAACTCAGTAGTTTACCAGAACTTTATCCTGATCATGATTGGACCTTAGTACAAACAAACAGAGAGCTTATGATAAAATTTCAGAAATTCTTTTTAGATCTCTCAAACATTTGTATTGAAATTGATATCAGATTCAGGCTAGAAACAACAGTTTCTTGGCGCTTTTATCCTGCAAAAGAATTCGAAAAATTACTAAATTTAAGGCATAAGTTTTATGTTATTTATTGCACAAATTTTTTTTCACAAAATAGCTATTCTTAGTGAGAGATAAATCATTTGGTAAAAATAGTTCACAATTTCGATTATGTGTAGAAAAAAATAGACATAAATTTCTCAAATTTACCTTTCCCTGAACCAATTGCTGGTTTTAAATCTAGTCGTAAATTGCTCAGAATCTTGATTGAATTCTGTTATAAATTTTGTCAGGATCTTGAAATTCTGCGACTATATGTTTTCTTCAATATTTGGTCGTTTCCTCAGCAAAAAAAAGACAGTATGTCCTCCTTACAGGAACATTATTAGATCTGTCAAGAACCTAGTGCGGAAACACTAAAGATCTCCACTAAGATTACAGCAATATAAGGAGAATGAGAAAGAAAACTTTCAGACGGCGTAAAAAGAATGCAAAGTGTGATATAGAGTATGAAATTATGTTGCAGTGAATCATTTTTTCCACTTGTTCATTGTCTTGTGGCATTACAGACAAGCACATATAAAAAAGAGAAGTGAAACACTCAAGTGAAACAAAAGAGAAAAATCACTCATATGACAACAACAACCGAAAATAAATAGCAGCATCTAGAAAAAAATATCAATATACTCTATAAATTCAAATCATTTTATTTTTTTCATTCATTAAACGTCACGCACACCATGGACAAAGAAGAAGATGTCGACAACAACAACGGCTGCCTCATAGAGTAATGGATTAGGAAAAAGAAAATTTTTTGATTGATGCAATGCATTATTCTTTCTGTTTCAATGTAACAATAATTCATTGCATGACCAAAAGAAAAACGAAGAGCATGCTCATCGATTGAGTTACTATTACAGTTGGGATTATACATCGAAATAATACATTCAATTAATCAGAATAAAGAATAATGATTGAATACATTGAAAGCGATGATTTTATATACGATTAGAAAAAATGACTTTTTTTTGAAAGAGAAATTCATAGCTGCTTAGTTTCTTTATTCATATATGTATGAATATACATATCAATTATTATTTAACGTGAAAGAAAATAAAAATAAAATAATTAAGAAATGAGAAATGAGAAAAGTAGAAATGCTAGTCCAGTAGTATCATTGATATGCCATGAATAATGAACAAACCAAGCTAAATGGAAATTTAAAAAAAGAACAAACTTCAGCTATGTTTATGATTACTGGTTCGTACGCCATTGATCTCCCCACTATGTCAGATTTTGAGGCATGCATGCAGATGAACCATGAAATGAAGGGGCGAATATGCAAGTGTCATCGGATCAAAAATAACTTGATCAATTTCTAGCTCCATGTTTGAAAAAAACCATGTCTTTTCAAAATCTACTAATTGCTGTTTCAGGTTAATTTCATTTGAATTCCGGTTTGAATAACTAATAACAGAAACTTCTGCAATATGTCTCTGAGATGCTATCCATAGTTAACATATTTTTCAAGTCAAATATACAGGGAAAATATTAGACATTGATATTTCTTGACGAAGTTGTTGCCGTTAAAAACGTACCAATCACACTTGTCACTATTCTATGTAATTCTTGTTCACTTAAAAGTTTTTCGAATAATGAAAAATTTCATATCTTCAATTTCATTCTTATTAATATTGTTTTTACCATTTTCCTCTCATGAAATCCTATGTCTTCCAAGATATTTTGGATCTTTATTTTTCAGTTTACCTTATTTTCAGATTAATTCATCAACAGTTTTTTGTTCAATCAATACAATAATCGTTAATAAAAAAAAAATCAACAAGCAACATTAATATAAAAATAGCTGAAACAATTTTTTGTACAAGTGCGCATCATTTTCTTGCAGAATATATAGTTTGTATCTTATTTAGCTGTAATTATATGTTACGCAACTTTATTGCATTCACTAGAAAATCAAAAAAACAAATATTTAGCTTTTATTCTTCGTGTTAATGTAAAAGTTTTATTACATTTGTACATAATTGTTCAATCAATTTTCCTTATCAAAATGAATAATTTTAATTTGTTCAATAGATGATCTATTTTATTTGGTTAATACGCAAACTTTTCCCTTGGTATAATTTTTGTCATTCTATTCAGTCGTGTATATAAAATAGTTTTACTCGATTTACTAAGTTTGAAATTACTTGATTTAAAAATACCATATCGAAATGGAAAAGATACAGCATCCATTGCAAAACACCCAAGTATATTATACCTGTTAGTTCACAATTCATTCAAATATAACTAGCTATCTTCTTCTTGTTTTTTTTTTTCGTACATTTCAAGACATTAATCATTGTAACAAATTGTAAATGTCTGAGTTTGTTAAAAGTTCAATTTTGACATTTTAATCATACATTCGACATTAAAAAAAAAATTATCATTTACTTTAAAATCTGATTGAATTACTCAATAAAATCTCACGTTCACTGAAATATTAGAAAAAGATCAGATCGATATTTAAACAAATACTTTATAAGAAAAAAAGAAAACATCTAGCTTTTGTTTTATTGAAATTAAGAATAAATGCTCGAAAAATCATCAAATAGAATTTATTCATATGAAAAAAAATCTTTAAAATAGAAATCAATCAATTAAATCACTGACTATAAGTAAATGGAATAAATTATAAAATTGCATCAAGTGGTTGATCTAAATAATCAACAGCTGTTTCACCACATAATACACATTGTGAAGCAACAAGATCATCAAGTTCTTGTTGTACACTTTCCATATCACGTGATGGTGGTGCTATACCACTAGCTATTATTGATTGCAAACGATTAACAGTATCAATATCTTTTTGTATTGCATTTATTTTTAAAGATTTATCAAGTTTTTGTTTATTTTGTTCATTTACTTGTCCACTTTTAGTTGCTGTTTGTGAACGATTTGTTTCATCTAAATTATGTTCATCTTTACGTTTCATTAAACGTCGTACATATGTAAATAAACAATCACCATGAAAATAATGACCACAAGCAAATATATAAAATGTTGATTGTAACATTAATGCTTGTTCACATAATGAACATGTTGCATATGAATCAATTGATGCAACACAACGTGTACGATATTTAGCTAAATCATCACGTATATCATCTATAGATTTTGATGCATCATTCATTTCATTTCGTAAATCATTTAAACGATCATTATAATGTTCTAATGATTTAATAATTGGTTTTTTAAATTGATCAATTGTTTCAAAATCAGGAAATAATGGAAGAATATCTTCGATTTTAAGTAAATCATTACCACAATCTTCGAGAATTTCCATTACTTCATTAAGATCATGTCCTTGAGTTACAACAGAACTAGCTAAATTGAAATAATAAATGATTTTTACAAATCAATCAATTTAATATAAATCAGTAAACTATTCATCAGAAAGTACATAATAGTTTAAGGTTCTCCTTCTTCTGATTAAAACAAGTCAATTTTTTGTGAGGAAAATCAAAATTGAGATAAATGCATAGGAAGATAACCCGAAGTCTGATCTTTCATAAATGAAATGATTCTTTATTCGGTGCTTCATTTTTTCTGGTCAAAACTTTCGATGATTTCTGTCATATTCTACTTGAAACATATGCTTTTTTTCAGAAAGAGTGAGAAATCTTTTTCACTATTTACGTGTTTCGATTGCGCATCTCAAAATTCTCGAAGGGACTTCATTGTAACCTATTACGTGTTTTTTGTTTGAAAGAGCATGTAGAGCTGCTGTGCCTATTTTTTTGAATTAAGCTTTTTTATTAGTATATAAAAAAAGCTTCTATAAATCAATGGCCATTTTTCGAGACATTGAACTTTTCATTCCTTTTCTCCATTTAAAAAGTAAGAATTTCAAAGAAAAAAAGTCCTACATCCTGACAAACTCTGTCAAAAATAAAATAAAATATATAGAATGAAGATTCAAAGAGAATTTTGGATTGCGAAATGAGCTATGTTTTTAATCCTTATTTATTAATTGATAATTTCATGCGATTTAAATATACCTGACCCAAGATCGATTTTTGAGATGGGAGGATGGGTAGTCTTAAACAATTAATGATAATAACATCAGGTATTTATTTAGTCTATAATTTGAATAAATTAATCTCAGTTTTCAAGAAACTTACTCAAAATCTTCTAAATAAATCATCGCTTGTAATAGTATAACACTGGTAGACATCACGCAATATAAATTCGAAGAAGGATACTATTTTATTGTTCAATATTATTATATTTCAGAAACTAGACTGATATTTTTAATGTCAATTTAAATAAGTTTTCTCTTTGTTTTGAGTAAAGAATATTATTATGAGATTCTTCATCATGAAATACGATCATTTAAAAGTTAATTTCTATTAGAATCTCATGATTATATATAGATGTAATTGGTTCTATGGATATAAAGACAAAACCACCATGATATCAGCTCAAAAAACTTTATAGTCAAAATATATGATACATTCAATGTTTCATTTCTTACCAATTTTAAGCCACAAGTTTTTTGCTCGTTCATCACTACTTGGAACTGTTGATGCACATTCTTTTGCTAATTTAACATTTACCTAAAATTTAAAATCAAGAATGATTCATTAATGTATTAGTTGTTTGTCTCTATTTATTACTTGTAAAGCTGTATCAACAGCTTCTTCATGCATATTTAATAAACGATATAAAAAGACACTTTCTTCTTTAAGATCATGATCAATACAAAGACGTAATGCATATCTTGGATCATAAGTTATTATATGAGGATCCTAATTTATCATAAACTAGATATGTTTTATTAATTTATATAATAATTCATACTTCTTTTTGATTTCTTAAATAGGGCATTATTTGACTAGGATCAAATTTGACATATTCCGAAAGAAGATAATTATGAATTGATTTATCAATACATCCTCTTGTTAAACAAAATTTTAAAAAATCTAATACAGCTTTACCCTCAAAATAAAGAATAATTAATAATTAAAAGAAAGAAAATTAAAATATTCTTTACTGTTGGATATGCTCGTGAATAAGCAATCATTGCTGGTAATAATTCTTTAGCTTCAAAACGTTCATTATATTTCTTTTTCCAAACAGATATAAGATTTTCAGGTAATTTTTCAATTAATGTTGGTGAATATTTATAAAGAAGTTGATAATTACTCTAGAAAAAAAGAATTCAAATTTAAAAATAAAAAATATAATATATATACTAATGGTTCAAGTGTTTTTAATGCTTTTTCATAATCTTCACGTTCAAGATAAAGTAAAATAACACGTTCATAATCTTGTACATGTTCAGCAAATAAAATTAAATCATCAAGATCACCATGACTTGTTAATAAATCATACATAGCTGAACGATGTTCTTTAAGACATGATTGAATTTCTGGTTTACGTAAAAAATATTGAAATTTTCGACGAATTTCATCAAATTTTTCTTTTCGACTATTTTCATCTAAAAATTCATCCTGTGATTGAAGATTAAATGGTGATCTATTATTTGAATTAGGTGATGTTGTTGTTTGATTTGTTGTTGTACTGTCTTTTTGACGTAATTCATCAAGTTCATTTAAAAATAAATCCGTTAACCATAAGGTTAATATTGTTATTTGTGTACTATCCTATATAAATAAAAAACAAAAGAAAAAGACAATAATTTATGTTTATATTTGTATTCAAATTTTTTTGTTTTTACTGTTGATGGTTTTTGATATTGTAAAACAGCTTGAAGATATTCTCGAAGTGGTTCTTTATCTCTTAAAGCAAAGAATTTTAATGTTACATCTTCAAATGATGTATCTGATGTAGCATAAATAGTTGCACTAAGTGTATATCTATATAATTAAAGAAAAAAAAGAAAAAGATTTTTATAATCGAATTCAAACGAATCAATATTTACTTTTTTTCATTAAATAAATAATCAGCATGTTTAGAATTAATTGAACGTTGTCTTCGTGCTGTTTCATCTGGATCATCTACCTGAATATTATAAATATTATTTTATTTACAATTAAAACTTATTAACATACTACAACACATGTTTCAAAAGCTTTTTGAAAATCTTGTTTTTGCATAAATACACGCCAAACATCACGACGTTCATCATTGATAGTATAACGAAGAACATGTTCATCAGTACATGCCCATAATTGATCACGAATTTGATCACGTGCATAACAAACTGGTCTACCACTCTAAAAGATAGTTTCAAAATTTAAAAGATATAGATTTTACAATTTAGAAGACTTGATTAGTTGTAGCAAAAAACAAAAAGATTCTGTTTTGAAGTTATACTTTCTATGGATAAATTTATTACTGAAATATTCTAAAATAGCTTAAATATTTCTGATAAAATTGTTTATTGAGTTCAGTATATTCTCAAAAGTCTCAGGAGTCAATAGATCTTTATCATATTATCCAACACCATTCTTATTCATGTTTCATTGATTTACATGAACAGATAGTATTGAAATAAAATGTATTCTCGACGATGACTATACTACCTACATATCATTAGTATACATGTCAAAACTAGAGATGTACAAAGTAAGCTTTATTAGTACTCTAGGCTCCAACTGAGAAAAATCTTCTAACTCTTACTCTACTCTGCAGGATAGAGTAAGATAACCTTGAATACCTCTAGTCAAAACGAAGAATTTGAATGACATACAGATCTTTTTAAATATTTCTAAAAAAAATGACAAATTATTTTGTGTGCAATTGACCATAATTTGTTAACGAAAGTTTATAACCAATAGCGATTAAGGGTACCCCCCCCCCTCTTTTTTGACACTTGCTGGTTCTCGAAGACGGTACAACCGATCAAGCTGAAATTTTTAGCACAGATAGAGCACTAAAAATAAAGAGATACGTGTCCGAGGAAAAAAAATTTTAAATAACTTTTTATGGGATTTTCCGGAAAACTCTGGTTTTCCAGAGGTTCGCATCTTGACACATTACGACCCCCCTTAAAGTTTGTCCGATTGGGCTGAAATTTTGTTTATAGATGCCTAACACTATTCCCCAGAGGTAAATTTAAGGATTTCCAAAAATCTCACTTTCTTTTTTTTTTTATAAGAAAAATACGCCCAGATTTGAGTTTGTGCTTCAGACCTTGACTTTCACGACCCGGTAACTCCGAGCAGGAACGTCAAAAATGAAAACGCTTGATTTTACCTCTGGAGAATACTTCGAAGTATTAGTCGTGAAATTTTCAGCTCGATCGGACAAACTAAAAAGGGGGTCGTAATGTGTCAAGATCTAGAAAATCGCTGTTTTACAGAACGCTAAATAAAAGAAATAAATTTACATACGATTACTATGAAAAAAAAAATTTTCTCGATCTAATAAATAGGTAAAAGTAAGACATTTCGAGTCGAATAATGTCTCTACCTGCACATGGCACCCAAGGCTATCATATCTTGGGCTCAGCTCAAAATCGAGTTTTGAGTCAAAAAAGAGGGGGGGGGGGTACCCTTAATTGATTTTCCTAATCTCATTTCTCATTACTGTATAAACATGATTTGCTTGAAAAAAAATCTAAGTGAAACTTACTGCCATAGAACCATCAATCATAACAATTTTTTTATTAACAGTGCATACAGCACGTATTTGATTTTCATTCGGAAACATCATAAGGCAATGAAATTCTGTTAATGCAACAGATTTTGGTGGTTGTTCTTCATCTCTTTGTTTAAGACTTTTATCAATATAATAATCAATAATACGATGACGTTGAATAAAAGAGTTTTGAACATTAACTGGATCTATTTCAGTATAAAATAGACCAGCACCTGTTATCCATGCAAATTGTCTCTGTAATAATTGTGTTGTAGATGATTTTCGTTTAACAAATAATTGAATTTCACTTTGAGCATTACCACTTGGAAATTCCAGATGTTTTAAATCAGATAATGAAGCATCACGAAAAAAAGCAAAAAATGTTGAAAAATAATCTGATTTACGTGATGAATCAATTTGATGTTCAAAATAATACAAAGCTCTAATATGAAAACAATATAAAGTTTTATTCAACTGTTCATTTTTATATCAAAGGTGGGTCAATATGAACTGAACTAATTGTAAATGCAACTGTTCTCTCATTTACTATTCATAAAAAATATTCAATTATACGTCAAACAATATAAAATTTTAAATTCTAAAAAACTGTGTACTTCATTTTTTAAAAGAAATTTTTTCTATTGCGAAACAAGTAACACACTAATGTACACTATATATCCCTACTACGACATTTAAAGCTAACGAAGAAAAGCATGATAACGCTAATGAAAAAGTTCATAAGGTTTTTTCTAATTAATCGATAAAATTTTTCACGAAATCGTTTATCTTTTTGACTATATTACAAAACTTTAAACAAAAGCTTCAAGTGAAAAGCTGGAAGACGAAAACAAACAAAAGAGAACTGAATTTTATAATGAGTTTGAGGTCTGGTAATTTTCTTCGTGAATTTTATTAAAAAGATGGCTCCTTTCGATTCACCAGTCACATAGTTTCATAGAAAAAAAATAAAATATTGTATTTTTGCGATGTAAAAATAAAAACTTTGTACCTGAAATTTTAATTGAAACTGTATAGTTTTGAATTGCTGTGTAAAAGAAAAAGTTTTTTTTTTAAAGCGAAGTGCACAGTTTTCTAGAGTGTGAAATTCTCTTGTTTTTGGTATTTACTTGAATACTTTTTTTAATGAATAGTAAGTGAGAGAAAAAGGATACATTTATATGTAGTCCAATTCAATGCGACTCATTTGTTCTTATCTTACTTTTGTGTGGTAATAACAACAAATATATTTGTATTATCTTCATAAGCAGATTTAACATCACAATAAATACCGGTAACACTATCTCTATTCATATCCATAATAGATTTAAATGATGGATAAACTTCATTACATGATGATAATTCACCATCCGATCGAATCGATACTTCATAGATACTTCCATCTTGACCAGCAAGAAGTGCAACAACATCATTTTGTTGTTGTAAAAATCGATTACACCACGAAACAGAAACAAGGATAAATGATGTAGCATTTCCAAATCGTATTGGTTTTTTAATTAATTTTAATGAATTTGTTGATGATACAAGAATGTATACATCACGTTTATCACGTGTTGATACAATAACTAAACGACCGTAGGGATCAAGAAATACTTTACTTATCGCATCTGGCATTTGAACCTCTATTAACAAAAATATATAAATATATATATCTATATACGTATATTTGCAAATATATATTTTGAATTGAACCTGGAAATGATGAAGTTTTTGTGTCTTTTGGTGTTTCATCGAGACATCGTCGTTGTAAAGTTTTCTCATTTAAATGTAAAATAAAAACATTATTTGAGACAACAAGATAATTAATTTTTGTATTTTTGTCAAATCTAAATATTTCTTTTCTTGACTAGAAATAAATAAATAAATAGAGTAAGATAACTTACTTCCATGGTAGCTCACTCTTGAGAAAGATAGGCTGAAGACCGGTATCTATTGTCATAGTCTGAAAAAAAAAAATAAGAATTATATATCTACATAATAAAAACATATGTTTTTTTTACGACTTCAATTAACAAAATGATTGCATGAAATGCTTCATTTATATAATACAAGAGTAGAATTCTCCTCTGATATGATCTGATCAATTATAACCGAATTCTTGTTTTAATTTATTTTTTCATAAGAATACAATTAGTACTCGAGAAAAACTTTGGGTGGGGCAGGAGGATGGGCGGAAATACTCAATTGACATGATGATATAAGTTTCACATTTGAGACTTAAATTATCGCTATGTAACCGATGTTATTCAAAACAAATTTCCAGCAGTACTATAAATAGATGATAAAAATTTCTTTTGCACTTATTAAACTTTCTAAATAGAATTTTGATGATGAGAAATATTTCTGTGTCTATATGTGTGTGTTGGATTGAATTTTCTGGTCTAAATGAAAATCAATTCATTGATTCATTCTCTTTGAAAAGGAATTTGTATTGAGAATTTGTATTAAATTGGTTGCAGAGAGTCAACAACTAAAGAAATGAAATGAAATCATTGAATCAAATGAATTGTACAAACGATTACTAGTCTATTTTCTTAACAAAATCGAACGAATGTTGTTCTGTTATATATTTGTTTGAATATTGTTGTCGAACAGTTCAATACAATCAATTAAAAACGTGTTAATCTCCACTTGCATAGAGAATAACATGTAATTTCACTATGAAATTAAAATCATTTTTATACTCATTCAAAAACTTTATTCACTACTTTTTCTAATTTGTCACAAAACTGAATATAATATATGAACTGCATTGAATTATTCTATCAATTTATTAACTTATAATTTATTTAGATAAGATACTAAAATGTCTAATATAAAATCTATTATAATAATCTAACATATGAATATCTAACGATTACATTGAAAATTCTAGTAACTGAACTTTTTCAATGATTATGAAGAAAAATTTCTTAACTACTAATTCGATTATTTTCTGTCTAAAAAATACTCACAGGTTCATCGGCCCGAAATGTTTGTTGTGCTTGATATTCCAATTGTTGATTAATGTCATCGCCCAGCATTTTTCTTTGTCTATCAAAAAGAATGTGATAAACAATATGAATCAAAACTTCAAAAGGCTCTCTTTTTATTCTTTATTTATAACAAAATATCATCAATTGAAACAATACAGTAATACATTATTATCAAAAACTAAAAGGAAATATGAGAAAATGACTGTGCATCATAATGCTTTTAGCTTGATCATCGTCGTTCTTCAAGACTCCTTTGAAGTCCTCCACCAGCAGCAATTCTTTGTCGTGATCTGATGGAAATAAATCGTTACACTAATTATTATGCGAAGATTCAACGACTTACATATCTTTAAATAGGGACGAAACCCGATGAGAAGCAAAAATAAAAAAACCTGAAAAAAAGAAAATAAAAAATTGAAGTAATTTTAAGATATGCAAAACGAAATATATCAATATCTTCTGAATTAACAATACTTATTCAAAAGGAAAAGATATATATATATATATAAAGAATTTATCTAAATATTATTATCAATATTCATTAGATGAATAAAAACAAGAACTATCTGTATTATCTCTATTCTCCCAATAGCATCAAGATTTAAATTAGAAGATTATGAAAGACAAGAAGTTGATTGTGAATTAGTTATATTCGATGTTGCTGAATTCAATAATGGAAATATAATAGTCGATCCAGTTTTAGTATTATTCAATAATGAATTAGTATGATCAAGTGTATCATCATCGGGTGCAATATAGACAGTTAAATGAACAAACCATACTGGTAATGATCTACATTTTGCATTTTTATCATTTGTATTTGTACTTGACAAATATTTATCATTATCTTTTTTTAATAATACCTTCAATATCACGTTTGACCGTTATTAAATGTTCATTTGTTATTATTTCATCAATTCTTTTAAGAACTCGAAATAATGATGCCATTTGTTCATTAAATAATTTCATATCAATTATTTTGTCCGTTTCTACTTTTTATTTCTTCTGTTTGATTATTTTCATTTATAATACCACTACATGACATATATGTCAAATCTTTTCAACGTATATAATAAGAATACAAAAGAAATACAGTTCGCTGTAAATTTGTTTAAGATATTGTAAGATTTGGTTACTAGTTACACTATTTTCATATTTATATAAATCATTCATTTTGATATTAACTTTAAACAGGTTAAGATTTATTTTACAATGAAATGAAAGATGATATCAATAAAAATTAACGAAATCTTGATGATTTTCAAATCATTGAAAGTTAGAAAATAAATTATCGATGTACGAGTTTATTTTTCAGTTATAACAAATGAAATCTTTTCATCTTGTGATAAGAACAAAAAAGCATTTCAAACTCTTACACAAATCTTCATAACCTATTATTTTGCAACAAACTATCCCATAACCAGAAATACTTATTCTAAAAACAGCTAGTAACTAGTAACTATTAGAAGCAATAATATGAGCAACAGAAGCATGTTAACATCGAATCTATTATTACTTCATATCAGAAAAGTTCACCATTCTTAAATTCACCATGTATAATTACGCATTCAAAAAAAGAGTTGTGATACGAATCTTCTCATATCAAACAATCAACAGCTAATGATAAATATGTTTCTACACATACTACTTTTATAATATTAACCGATCTAAATCAATAGTTCTAATATTTCCTAGAATCACAAAGATTGAAACTTATTCTTCACAATAATTCTATTTATTTGATATTCAAAACAAAAATGCAAACAATATTCGTTAAGTTAAAACGACAGGCAAACCGTAACTATCTAATTTACTGTTTTAATGTTAAAAAAATTAACTTATACAATAATATCCGTATCCATCTTCTGCGAACACATATTCATCTTTTGTTTTTTCAAAATCTTTGTTTGTAAAAAGAAAACTATTTGATATCATCTTTAACCACTTCAAACATAATGTCAATAATCCACTTTCTTTTATTTTTTTACTGATAAGAAAAACTTTTTTTTACTACTACATAATTGACATGTCCTACCTAGTCCAAAAAGAGCACAAGTAAAACGATGTGTTGAAGAATTCGCTTTCTTAGCTTGATAAAACATATAAACTCCTAACGCCGATGTTGATGCTATTCCAAGAGCATGACATGAAAAGCAAGCTGATGGCTGTTGTGATGCTGGTAAAGGTCTATCAACAGTCATCTAATAGGTACATAAAAAAGCAAATACAATATTTATTATCTGAAAAAAATTTTTATAATATACAACTTATTTTTTATATGAAAATAGTTAATTAGTGCGAACAAAAAAAAAATTGTTGAATTTTTCATAATTCTTCGTACTTCTCTAATAACACAAGAAAAAATTGTTTTTATTTTACATATGTAGATATAATTAAGAAAATCAAAAGAAAAGACCCTCATAGAGAGTAAGCAAAAAAAAAGGAATTGTTTTATCGTAAATTTGGTGGTCGATATAAATGAAAATTATGTATATTATCAAGATCTCTTGGCCAACGTTGTATTGTGATACAAAATGGTTCTATTGGATGCCAAAGTGTAGCTAATGTAGTACGGCGATTAGTAGTTAAAGTATTCGGAATAAATAAAGCATTAGCTGTTGTTGTTGTTGTTGTTGCTGTTATGGGATTATTATTGTGATTTGTGATTGTTGGTGTAATAATTGTTGTCGTTGTCGTTGTTGCTGTCGCCGTTGAATTATCTGTTGTCATAAATTGTGGTAAAATAATTGAACGATTTGTTAATGTTAATTGAAATTTCATTCTTTGACAATCACGTGAAAAAAATCTTACTGGATTATTTGGACATGTTTTTATCATATCATCAATATGAACAATTTTATCATCATATGAATATAAATTTAAATCAAGATATGGTGATATGGTATGTGTTATTGTACGTAATGGTAATTGCATAAGTAAACGTTTTATTGAATCATAATCACCGGTTGATGTTGAATTATAATACATATGTTCAAATTGACGACGACCGGCATATGTTGATAAAGGAAAAAATTCTAAATCTCTATAATTAATTAAACCATATGATGATGAAGAACGAAAATCATCATTATATTTTTCAAATATATTAGCTAATTCAATTGATGAATCATCATATATATTAAGGATTGTAGATGTTTGAATATTATAAACAACAAATAAAGCATAATGCATTTGTTGTTCTTGTTGTCGTTTATTAACAATTGTTTCATGTGCAAATTTAAGTAAAATAATATTATTTGTTAAAAATTGTACTTTATAAAATTTACTTGCTAAATAATCATTAAATGAATGAATAAAACGTAATTGTTTATTACTTTGTTTAGCACGTTTATATAAATATGTTAATAAACGTTGTTTTAATGTGCATAATTGTTTATCATTCATTGGTAATAATATTTGATTTTGAATTAATGACCAATAATCATCATTTGTATCATTTATTGTTCGATCTGTTGAATATTCTATTCGTGTTAGATTCATAGGTTGATCATTATCATCATCATCGTCGTCATCATCATCATCAGCTATGGTCGACATATCATGATCATAATCTAAAGAATTATAAATACAAAAATTTCTTCGATAATATGCAAGGCAAAAAAAGGATTCTAAAAATATTTTACAAAAATTTCACTTCAAAAAAAAAACCACTTAAATTAAGCATAGACTAATTTCGAAAAATTAACTGAATAAGATAACCGGGTCTACGTTAATTGATTGAAATGACAACTAGTTGCAGTATAGAATTGATCGCAATATTGAAAAATAAAATCGGCAAAAAATTATCTTAGCATTATAGAGAAATAATTCAGTTAGATTTAGAAAATAACTAAAGACCTTTTCAAGGATATGAAGGAGAAAGTAGAAATATAAATATGAATGTTGACTGAACTCATCTAATGGAGCTTAAAGCCTTACATGTAAAGAAGTAATAGTTGTTTTTCAAATTTTATCAAGATCTTCTATAATTTTTCCTTGTTTTTTAATTTCTGTTCGCTACAGTTTTCACTATTCGACAATGGATATAGTTTTCATCTTTTCGTAAGCTTTCAATAAATTCAAAATGTGAATGTCAACAGTCAATTATTCTTTATCAACAACATCATCTACGAATTCATTTCGTGAGATGAATCTTCATTTTTCACAACGCCTATATGTGATTGAATCACATGTCTTTAAATTGAGGTTTGTGTGAAAAGTGAAATAGAGATCATGCTTCTGTCAAATAGATCACCAATTCCATATTGCAACTAATTGTCACTATCTCCTAATATATATCTGATGAAATGTATCAACCGATTTTTCATATACATCAACGTAGATGGCACTTATTGATCTTTCGAAAGATTGTTTTTTTTTTTAGAAATGACTTCCATAGTACGAGTGTTTCTGTTTTTTCTTTCGCATAAATACTCGAGAGATTAGATTGAATTTCAAAAACAAAAAAAATTCATTGTGTTCATGTCTATAATGAGACGAATAACATTCCTCTGATAAAAATAGGTTACCTGATGTTGTTGTACTAGTTGGATAAGTAAGAAAACCTCGTCTAATAGGTCGATTTTCACGTTGAAATATTGATTGAGCTAAATTTGTAGGTAGATCATTAGTTTCAGAGACAAGATTAAAATTTGTTTGTTGTTCTTCAGTATTATTCAATGAAATTCTAGTTGGAGGTGGAGTAAATGGTCGATGAAGTTCTTCTCGAACAAATGAACTACCATTATGTGATAATAAACGTGATGATGAAGAATCACTGTTCTGATTTTCACTAAAATGATCACGAATACGTTTTCTTTGTTGACCACCGGTTTCATTATCTTCCCATTTATCAAACATTGATGATGAATTTCTTTTAAAATTTTTTTTATTTAATAAACGTGGTGACATTGTTAATAAATGTTTAGGTAAACTATATTTATATAAAAATTCTTCTTTTGTTTGAGCAAATTTTCCTACAGTTAATAATTCAATTAATTTTCCATTTTTTTCATCAATATGATATAAATGTAATTTTTGATGTTGAATTGATAATATAGCTAATGTTGATTTATATATTGTTAAACCAATACGATCAAATTGAAATTCAAGTTGTTGACATATAATACCACGTGAATAATCAATAAGAAATATAAGAAAATGTTCAAAATAAAATCTTGATAATGGATTAAGATCTTCATTTGATTGTACTAATTGATTATATGGTGGATGTTGTTGTTCATTAACTAATTTTGATGCACATATTATAGCATATTGATCAGAAGAAAAAAGACAATATATATGATTACGATTTAATGAATAACCTATAGATGATGAACGTATTTGTATTGTAATATGATGTTCAAAAATTTTATTAAATGCTTGATCACGTAATTTTTCACAAGTAACTGCATCAGATATAATTTGTCGAGAATTTTCACCATTTTCATCTAAACGTGTATAATTTGTTGATGGAGAACATTGAATTAAATGTGGATAAACACGTTCAAAACCTAAATGAAAATTTTTTTTTTTAGTTATTTTAGTCATTTAATTGATATACTGATGATTATTATTATTATACAATAATTATAGAACCTTTTTTGGAGAGTCTCGTACTTGACTGAAGTAAAAAGGTCAAAGAGTGCGTTGTTCTTTTCTGATGTACTGTAAAATACTGCTTGTTGACTTCAATGCTACGAAAATAGTCTACCAACTTTAAGTATTTTGAAATTTGTATTGCTAATCTAACACTTTTTTTTTTAAAGAATGGTTATTATTTAATGTACGTCAAGAATTTTCGATATCTTGAATATGAAATTACTACATGAACTTTTTATGGAACTTTTCTTAATCATATTTTGACTAACGTTTAATCTCCAACTATCATAATTAAAATCTTATATAATGACAAATACAGAATTGTAATTCAATTATGTCTACTTTTATTTTTTCTTGTCTTGTTTCGATCTTTTTCATTTTTTTTCCTATCTTACTACTCCTCAACAGAAAGACTTTCATAAAATATTTTTCTTGTAATGTAAAACTTTCATATGGTTTAACTAATTGACCCCATTATTGGTTGTTTTCTATTACACATGAATATACTCTATTCAATCATCTATATTTATACTAGAGACATTTTGAGGAAGTTCTCATGACAGATCTAGATATGTTGAGTTTAGCCCATTAGTGAGCCTTTTATCGATCTCTTAAAAGCGATATGTTTATGACAACTCTTAAGATGGTGAATATGTTTTTGAATTCATGTTAGATTTGATTGTTTGTTGAACAATGTGTTCATGTTTTTATGCTTTAGTTTCGTTGTAGATTATTTTGCTTTCTACATTCGCGATTGAAACTATCTTACGTTGATCTTGTACTATTTTTCAGATCCTCGCTCTATTCTGTTAACTCTATATGATGTACTTTTTTCTTTTTTATCTGTTTATTCGGCAAATATATGAGACTCAGTTTAATTAAAACAATTAATAAAAATAAAAATAAAAGTCATTTTTTCTTATTGTTCAATGTTAATTAATTGATAAAAGATGATAAAAATATAATTTGTTCATGACCTACTTAATTCTTATAAATATTATGTCTGATTCATTCATATCTTTTTCTCATTAAAAGAAGTAATATATTCAGAACTTTCTTGCTATAAGAAATGCACTGAGTCTGAAAAACGATACTAAGATTTATTAACAAAAGAAACAAATTGCAAAGGCTTCCGGAGATGCCCTATCTAATTCATAATAGAATTATACTTTGAAATCAATTTTTACAACAAAAAAAAACATTGTAAATATGGTTCTATTTTTAAGACATTCATTAATCTTTTTTTATTATCCATATGAAGCAATAATTTAATGTACTTTAACTCTCTTAAGATTATCTACTTATTCAACTATAGTTTATAAGACTAATTAATCATAGAAAAAAAAGCAAATCTTTCACTAAATGAGCCTTTCTAACAAAATGCATTCTATGTTTAAACTAATTAATTATTTATATTAATAATCATCAAACATTAAATTAAAATTCTTTTCAAAATAAAAGTTTAACAAATCGAATTCTACTATTTACTACATTCATCTAATATATAACCCTTATTTACAGCTCATAATAATCAAATTACAATATGCAAGGCCGTTTAATAATACATTGTGTCATAATACAAAACTATGGCGCAATTACATATAACATACGAAATACAAAAAAAAGAAACCTTGTTACATCGTTTAGGGTAATATAGTATAATTACTATGTCGAAAGTATATCTTAAAAATATCTATTCTATTATACTGATGATTAACATATTATCGATGAATATATTAAAAATTCTAAAGATATTTTATCTTGTAATTAATTTACCAATTTACCTTTATATTTATAAACAATTAAAGATTCAAGATCATGTGAAAAAGCAAGTAAATATTGTCCATTTGGTGAAAATCTTCTTATATATACAGCTTGTGGTACTGTACACATTAAAATTGAATAAGATGGATGAATAGCACGATAAACATTAGTACGTCGTGCAATAAAATGATTTATTCTTGATTTTATATAACCACGTTCTCGATCACGTAACCAACATACTAAATTATGTTTCGGTATCGCACGATGTAAAAGATTTTCATGATCATCATTAATTACTGTACGAGTTTGAGAAAAATTTAAAAAATTTCTACGTTTTGATGATAGTGATGAAGATGATGCCATTATTATTTCGTTTTCTATTAATAATTACATATTAGAAAGAAAAAAGTAGGATTTCTGTTTTTAAACCTTGTCATACAATCATATAGTAAGAAAATGCAATAGATTATGTTTATTTCGATATTGATGAAAGAAAGAGAACTCTACTATCAATGAAATAATTCATGTCGATTGTAGCGAATTAAATAATCAAGAGTTTTAAAATTTATTAAACCTTTTTTGAAAAAATTTTTTATTTAAATAAATAAAAAATAAAAAATAATAAAATTTTTTAAATGTGAAATAAGTTCGCTACAATCAATGTTTATGTAAATACAAAAAGAAAATGGTTGGAAATGATCATGAAATTTTGTTTTCTTTTTTTTGCTTCTGGCTATCATTCATTTCGATATTTGAATGACAAGAAGTTTTATTTAATAAGGTTAATTTAAGTGAATAAGTTTTTTTTTTTTGTATTTTTTAGAATTAATATAACCCGTCAACTGACGTGTCTGTTTTTCTCCACGTGTGTGTGCGTGTGACCCAAACGTCCCGTTTATTTCTTTTTTGGATTTAATTTAACAGACGTGTGTGTTTGTGAATACGGCGAATAGCGCAGATTTATTTATTCTTTTAAATATTGCTTTTCTTTTGTCAAACGAATATTTCATTTATTAATTATGTCATCAACACGAACTGCTCCACGAACAACAAATATTAATAAAACAACGCCAACATTAAATACACATCATACAAATGGTTCAACTAATTCGTATGATATTAATAATTCAACGGCTAATGTTAACAATACATCTGAGTAAATAAAGAAAAAATATTTTTCTTGAATTTTATTTTTTTTTTTTGAGAATATTAAGTTGGTAAATTTCATTTAGTCTAAGCAATAATTAAAAATGTGAAAGGATATTTCTATTCATTTGTTTGTCGAATAGGAGAAAACAAAGAACACTGAGAATTTTAATTTTTGCTTTTGATTCATTGTCTGAATAATAAATATTTGATTTAGAATTGATTCAAATTTACAAAGATCAGTTTTAACAAAGAATACTTCTCAAGTAAGTACTCAATTTAGAAAAAAAAAATTTTTTGTTATAAAAGAATAATCGTTTTTTTTTTTTTAATTATTTAGTCGGAAGGTATTTATCGAAATCCTCGATTTATTCATGCAGTGACTATTGGATTATTGGTAAGTTGATTTTTTTAAATAGAAGTTTATTCTTTCTTTTCGTTATTTCTCAAAAAGAAACTAATTAAATTTGTTTTTCTACTCGAATTGTTTCTTTTTTTTAAAACTCCTGAGTACAATATTGAACAAAAATCTTTTGAACGAATTTGTTTTTAATATAACTTTTGTATAAAGAATAATTTTTGATGAATGATTTGAGTCAAAATTATAGTCATTGTCTATACTATATCCAAAGAAAATTTCATTTCTAAATGATAAATTAGACATATAACAATCTGGAGTAGTCAATTTTTGTTGAACAAACTATCTACGACGATCTTTTAAACTAAGTTATTTTTACCGAAATTGTTTTAAAAATAATGGATCTGTATAAATGAAAAGAAGAGAACATGAGCTACGTGTTAATAAATAAAACTTTTTACAAGCATATTGTCTATAATGTAATCGGACTATTTGACGACAAACAACACATACTATTCATGTAAACTCTTTATCATTTTTCTTTTCAAATATTACATTCGAAACAGTGTCGGAAACTGTAAATCTTTCAGAAAGTGATACCTCAAAAATCGAAAACATTTTTTGGTAAAATTTCAAACTATTTGCCACTTTATGTAGTGTCCGACACTCTTTCACAAGTGATATTTGAAAAGAAAAATGATAAAGAGTTTACATGAATACTGTGTGTTGTTTGTCATAAAATAAGCCGATTGCATTATAGATAACTTGTTTTGTAAAAAAAGTTTTATTTACTACAATGTAACTCGTCTCCTTATCGTTCCATCTATAGAGGTTCAATTTTTTTTTTACAGCAACTTCAAAAAGAAAAAAAAAGAAATAACTCAATTTAAAGGATCGTTCGAAAATCTTTTGGAGTCAGTTCATAATATTTGACTCGGCCAACTTTCAATGTAAATGTCGATTATTTTACTAATAATCAATGAAAATATTTTATATTTAATAGGGTCAACCAGTCATTATTCAAACAACTGAACGAGAACGTTTTCATGGTATACTTGAAACAATATCAGCAAATGGTGATGTTATTTTATCAGTTGCTCATCGATTAGATAATAATAATAATGATATTATGGGATTATCAACATCACTTATCGATCTATTTGATACAATTGATAATTCATCACAATCATTTGAATTAAATAAACGTATTATTCCATCAACTAATATTGTTGAAATAATTGCTGGTGATATTGATTTATCTGGCAGTGGAAAATGTAAGTGAAAAAAGTAGTTAAAAAGAAATTTTTCATTTCAAATTTTATATTCAGGTGTACTTGATGAAAATCCAAAGGCAACTCAATTAGAAGATGAACGTTTTAATCGTATGGAACATTTTTATGGTACAGGTGAAGTTGATCCAGATACATTCGAATATCTTGATCTTGGGGATGATGGAAATGTAAAAAGAAAAATAACTAATGAAGATTTTCTATTGAAAATTATTGTTTTATTTTTAGGCTGGTTATGATCCAGAAGATATGTTTGATACAAATCGAGAAAAATTCAATACAACAACAGATTTTGATGAAAGCAAATATACGTATGTAGTTCTTTATTTTCATTCAAATGAATTCTTTTTTTCTGTTTATTAGAAATGTTCCTATTCGTCAAATGACAGCTGATGAATTAGCAGAAATAGAAAAGAAAGTGACAGAAATTGAAAAAGCAACTCGAAATGATGATATCGATGAAGATGATGCAGGTTATTCGATGCATAATTTTTCCTACTTGAAAAAAAAATAAATCTGATATTTTCAGGTGTAAAACGTCCATCTGAATATAATCAAACACAAAGTGTTGATGATGGAAATAGTAATACTAAAAATAATCCATCATCACGTCCACATACAAATGATCGTCGATCAGATTTTCGTTATGATACAGAATATAATCCATCAAAGTAATTCATTATTTCTTGATTTTTAGGATTTTGTTTTTAAATATTCTTTAATAATTAGACGTGGTAATTGGCGTGAACAACGAACTGGCGGTGGTAGTGGTGGTAATCGACGTGGTGGCAGTGGTGGTGGTGGTTCAAATAATTATTCAATGAATAATCCAAAATCAAATCAACGTTCTGAACAAACACAATATACATCATCACGTTCATCTGAACAATCAACAAATAATCGTCAACAACAATTTAAATCACGTAATAATCGTTTTACAGATAATCGTTCACCACATGAAGGACGTGATTCACCATTACAAATAACAAATGATGAAACGACACGTGGCCAAAGAATCAATAGTGGTAGTCTTTCACAAGGACAAAATTCAGGTCCAACAAGTCCATCAACAACAGTTCCAGCACGTACTATTTATCCAACAAATAATCGACCACCTATTGGAAGAAATTCACCAGCACCATATACAGGTAGTTCATCATCTCGAAATAATTCGACAACAACAACAACATCACCATCGCCAACAACAACATCAGCAGCAACATCATATCAAACAAATTCTACTGGAACAGGAAATTATTCTCAACAATCAAATAATAAAATGGCTAAAAAACCAATACGTAGTAATGAAATTAATCTTTATTTTATTGTTTATGACTTTTTCTTTTTAATGTTATATTTAAGATGAACAATCAACAACTGATGAATCAGATCAACCAAAACCACAACGTAATCAACAACAAACTTCTTCAAATAATCAATCAAATACAGTTCCACTTAATCGTCCATCACAATTACATACTCAACAAATAAGACAACAACAACAACAACAACAGCAACAACAACAAATTTCATCATCTAATAATAATGCTCCACCTCCATTAGCACTTCCAACTCAAGACGATCATTCATCTAGTCATGAATCAACAATAAATCCGAATCAGTCGGATCAAGCAATACATTTAACAAATACGCCTGTTTATACACAGCATACAACTGGAACAATGTATGTTTATTTATTTTGAAATCATATTCACAAGAAAAAAACTAAAGAATTCCTTTTTTTTTTGTAGAACACCTGGTAGTGTTAAAACAACTTCAGGCTTAAATCCAGAAGCAGATGAATTTGTTCCTGTATTTTCGGTAATATTTTAAATAATTCAAAAACAAAACAAAAATTATTAGTTTTTATTTTTATAGCGTGAAAGTAGTTCTCGACCAGAATCTCGTGGAGCAACAAGCTCAATGTCGATCAATACATTTATTCCACATCCTCATCCACAAGCACTTCATCTTTTACAACAACAACAACAACAACAACAACAACAACAACAACAACAACAGCAACAACAACAACAACAGCAACAACAACAACAAGCACAACAATCATCAATGATGGCACAAACACATCCTCAAAATGCAGCAGCTTTATATCAACAATATTATCAACCATCATTTACCAATATGGCACCGTTTGTTACTTCTACACCACAACAAATGAATGTTAATATGATGAGTGCACAGATGATGCCACCACAAACACAACAACAATTAGCTGGTAATGGACCAAATACAAATAATTCAGGCACAGGTGGAATGACAACACCTAGTGGTAATTCTGGTCCAACATATAAAACAAATACTAATCCAGTACATAGTGGAGATACTGGAAATAGTGGTGTTAATAATGTTGCACCGAAAAAAGGTAATTTACTTGTAGATGAAATTAATGTAATGATGTTATTATTATATTTTCAGCTGTTGTATCAGTTCAACGTCCCGAACAATCTAATGTACCTCAACAACAGCAAGTAACTGGTGCTTCACAAATGGTATATCCAGCTACATCAATTCGATATTATCAACCTGAATATAATATGACACAACGTATGAATATTTTGCTTTATTGAATATACTTTAAAATTAATGTTTTCTTTCTTGTTTTTTTTCTTTAAATAATAGAAGCAACTCCACAATCCATGCAATTACAACAAATACCATTTTATTATCCTATTAATCCATCGGGTATTATTCAAGCAGCTGCAGCAGCAGCATCTGGTGTAGGTCAACCTCAAAACATAATGATTCCTTCGACTAGTTCATCAGCTGGACCGGGTACACAGGGTCCACCTTCAATATATTATCAAGGAATGTATCCAGGTATATTCAAAACCATCTTTCTTTTTTTATTAATCGATTGTGTTTTATCATAAATTTAAAAGATCCACGTATGTATGGAGTATATCCGTCAGCAGCATCAGTTAATCCAGGTGGTGTAAATCCGAATTGGCAATTGGCTCGTTCACCTCCTCATCAACAACAACAGCAACAACAACCAACAGATCAGCAACGAGCTTATGTTGGTGGACAAAATGTACCTCAAGTACCTCCACCAACAGGTGCCCCAAATACTGGTGGTGGCGGTCGATCAGGATCAACATCGGGCCCATCAGGTCAGGCTGGTGCTAGTTCTGCTGGTCCTT